CCGCCCCAGCCGCTACTCCTCCTTCATCAGTTGACGTCGCCGAAGAAGCAGAACTATTAGTCCCACATAGCTCAGCTACCAAAGGGTCGAATATCGGAACCCTATAAAGAAGCTGCTCCTCGTTCTCGTCCTGGGAATTCACCTCCTCCGAACCCACTTCCGGAACTAGATAGAAGGGGTTTATGTTGCTATTGCGACTGACCGGAGAGTGCTTCCCATGCCTCGGCGTCCGAGCTTTCTTGGTGTGCCACGTCGGAGGCTGTTGTTCGTCGCCGGACTTGAACGACGCCGTTTTCAAGCGGACTCGTTCGTGTCTGCGAGCCAAGGGATTGGCGGAGTGGACCGAAGAGTCGCAAGCTTGGCATAGGAAAGCGTCGTCGGCAGCACAGTACCAACGAGCCCGTTTCGTTATGCAGCTGTCGCATGCCCTTGCTGTTTTACCACCCACCGCGTTTGCCGCGTTCTTAGCTGAACTACTCATTACACTAAAACAAAATTCGAAGCCAACCAAAAGGGGTTCACACTTGAACACTTTGTGTTTTGGTTTAGGTTGAAGTTTAGCTAATGGGAGAGGAAAAGAGTGTTGCGTGACCCACAAGAGGCGCTTTTGCAGTGTATTTAACAGGGAGAGATTGTTTGGATTTGCACTTTTGGGACCTTGAACATTGAAAGGGATTGAACTTTGGGGTCCACCCGGGGAGGCCTTATCTGGTTTTTCATTGGTTGGGTTAGGAAAGTTCATCCTAATCTATGCATTCTCATTGGCTGCCTCTCTAACCGGAGCGATTTCGCGTGGTGACCCACTTGTCCTGTGGATGAGTATGGGCTTTCAAATCTTAATCCCATTTCGAAGTTATCGTTTCCTTGCTAGAAATATTGAGTGAGACCCTTTTGGTAGTTTGTGTCGCTTCAGCGTCATATTTGGGTTAGTAGTGCCTACTACCTCCTGACTTTTGTTCTGCGGTCCCGTTGATCCGTTTTCTCTTTCACTTTGTGCCCTTTTACTTCCAATTATTTATGCTTCATCTTTCTGTGACAGTGTAACCAATGGAATTTTGCCACCTAAATTAGCCTTAATTTCAATTTGTCTACATCTTATTACAGCGTATATATGACTTGGATATTGGATATATAACAGGGTCACATCCATTGCCATTTCTCTCGAAACAACCATAAAGATTTAGATTAGCGTAATCCATCATCTAGACACTGATCAAGTCTTCACTATGTTGGTTGAGGGAGAAATCAGACAAATTAAGATACACACATTTGATTCAGAAATTATTAACAGATCATATGATGATCATATGATAACTGTATCGTTTATTTGTTTGTATAATTATTAGAACCTTTTTTCCCTCAAAATGTACCAAAGAGTGTTTCAACAAAAGAGTGTTTGGATCCAATTTATATTTGAAGTTTAATAGGATGTACCAAAGAAAAATATACATGTATCGTTGTATAAAAGTTTAATTTTTTTTTATCAATAACATCCTACACAATTAATAACTGAATTTTTTTTAAAAATATATTAGAGTTTTGTAAAAATATTTTTTCTTATAGATATTGTCATTGTTATAATTTTCAAGATAATTATTATGATAAAAAATAAATTTATCATATATGAGAATACAGTATCAGTGTATATATTATATTTTTAACTTTATTTTAAAATTTTATTATTTTATAAAAAATATTTATTTTTTCTTATGTACCTAAAAAAATAAAAGAATTATTTATGGCAGAATATAGTTGTAATGTTTAAATTATGGTTAAAAAATAGAAACAAAATTAAAAAAACATGATCATTACTTTCTCAATCTTTTTTATAAGATTCAAATTAAAATATTGTTTTACTTTAAAAATAATCTAACTTTAGAAAAAATTTCTTTAATTAGAGTATTTTTTAATTAAACAAGTAGTTGGTAGAACAATAATCTCATTGAAATTAATTAAGAGTAATTGTAAAAGAAAAATTAGAATAAATTTAATATTACATAAATTAACTAACTTTCTCAAAAGAAATTTAAAAAAAAGAAAGAAGAAATATTACACATTTTGGTTCCTTCTTAAAGAATAACACAAAAAGAAAATTTCTCCTTATGGATAAACAGGAAACCAAGGTCAATAAAAGATGTATTCTGTTGAAAATTGACAAATCATTACAAAATTGATTACTTGATAAAAATTAGGTTAGAGAAATCTTATGGGCACACTCTTTTTAACATTATATTTTAAAAGATTTTTCTGTATTAACAAAGAATAAGACGTTGTTATGTTGTAAGAGAAAAAATATAAAAATTAAGTTAATAAATTATAGATAAATAATCATGAATTATTAGTATAATTACTTTATTTTTTAGTCTTATAACACGATGTTTTCATTTTTTTTAATGAAAAGATCTTAATCTTATTAACACGATAACATCATGTTTTCTATTAGTGTAAAAATATTTAAGTCTTACTTTTTATTATTGGATGAATTACACAAGTTTTATTGAATAGTGTGACTGTTTAGAAGATTTACATAATTGATTTAATAATAAAAAAAATATTTTTTTAGGGGAAATAATAAAATATATTAAATAATATAAAAAAGATCTTCTTGCGTTTAATTAAATGATGGTGAAAATACTAAAGAAAAAAACAGAAAAAGAAACGAATGGACGTAATTATATACAGCGACAGAGAAACTAATATAGATAAGGATTTGGCTCTGATAAAAATGTTAAAGTAGCGAACGGATAATATAGTAATGAGGAGAGTGATCCAAAGTTGATGCAAAATTTGGCAGCGATATATGGAAGACTTGTCATAGGGAAACATATTCCTCAACATGATAAGGACTCCTCTTTCTCTCTCTTCCCTTTCACATGTCAAATTTGGAATCTTATACTCTGATATTTTAAACGATCAAATAAATAAACAACATACTCTATCCCTTATGTAATAATCATTGTATTCTTTTTATAAAAAAAATTGTTGTTATATTAATTTTTCAATATAATATTAATAATTTTTTATTTATATTTGTTGTGATATTTTAAAAAAAATATTTATTATATTATATGTTTTTTAAAGAAGATTAATTATAAAATTATTATTCTCTCTTATTTATTTACCATCTAATAGTTTTTCTCTGTATAAAATAACATAAGACAAAATTTATTACGAAATGGAAGAAATATATATTTTTTATTTAATTAGCTTGAATTATTTCCTCTATCGTTAAAAAAAATAGTTTAGTCTCTTTATAAAAAAATATAATATTGATTTTCATTCACTTAAAAAGATGAAATTAATTACCTATCAATGTGAATTTATGTATTAATTATCTAAGATTAAATAATTAATTAAGTTAGCTTTTAACATTAAATTTATCCTAAATTTATAGATATATTTTTTTCAAAATCACCCCTAGCTAGAAGTGAGCAAAGTCTCATTACTCATTTGTTTATTTGGAGATTTGAATTTTAAAATTAGACCTTATGTAATTTTTAGGATAAGTTAAAGTCGTTATTGTCTTGATTCATCTTACATTCTTTTAAAATAATCTTTTAAAACAATTCTTTAATAATAATAACTTTATTTAATATATACTATTTTTTATAACATGATATTATATTTATAATGATGTTATAAAAAATATTATACCTTAATTTTAATTTTATATCTTAATTATTTTATAATTTAACTATATATAGTGTTAATATTGGTATATTATGTTGAAATATTGTGTTCACTTGGCCTTAGTCATATTTAGGGATGACAAAAAAAATTAGTGCTCGCAAATAAAATTTGTTATAAATTTTAAATAAAATTAAATGAGTATTCACTCAATAATGGAGGCAGGACAGAAAATAAGGTACTTGTAATTGTAGGAATCTATATTTTAAAAAACATTAAAAATTCTCTTTATTATATATAAAATAATCTGGTTAATTTATTTTTACACAAAATATGTATCATAAATAATTTTTTTAGTACAAATATATGTAAAAAATATTTAATATTGGTTCTTATAAAAAAGCTCAAACAAACTTTAAATTTGAGTTTTATAAATATCATTGAAGAGAGTAAAGTTTATTTAAAAATACAAAAGTATAAGAGAGTTTCATTAAATAATATAAGATATATAGAAGCCAATTCTAGATAAGGATAAGTGCAGCCTTTCAAACCAAGCTCTTGGAGCTTGTTTACTATTTGTGTTTATCTTCTTTAGGAAAAATATTTATTTGTAGGCATGTATTGTTCAATGAACATGTATTCCCCTTTGCTACTAATTCAGCTTTCTCTAGTCCATGCAGAAATAAATTTGATAATGATGTTCCTTTAGCTGTTCCATCTATTCCAATTATTCAACCTTCTCTTACAGCAAATCCTTCTAACACACAAAATATCTTCCCACCAAATTCCCCTACAACCACCTCTACCTTACCTCCAACTAATTTTGAAACACAAACTCAACCATCATCAACCAATAACACCACTGACATCCCAAACATTCACCCTATGATTACTAGAGCTAAAGCTGGAATCCATAAACCAAAAGCATACAACATTGTCACAACCACTCCTAAACTCGATCTTAACCCTTTTCATGAACCTAGATCTATCAAAGAAGCTATGGCTATTCCACATTGGAAGAAGACTATGTTGGAAGAATACAAGGCCCTAATGAAGAACAACACCTGGATACTAACTACTCTTCCTGCTGGTAGAAACTTGATAGGATGCAGATGGGTTTTTAAAGTCAAAACTAACTCTGATGGCTCAATCAATAGACATAAAGCACGGTTGGTTGCAAAAGGATTCCATCAAAGAGATGGTTTTGACTTCTCTGAAACATTCAGCCCTGTTGTTAAACCTGCAACAATTAGGATTATCTTAAGCATTGTTGTATCAAGGAGTTGGGATATGAGACAGATTGACATAGCTAATGCTTTTCTAAATGGAGACCTTCAAGAAGATATATACATGGCTCAACCCCCAGGTTTTATTCAAACTGACAAAAGCCTTGTGTGCAAACTACAAAAGTCCCTTTATGGACTTAAACAAGCTCCAAGAGCTTGGTTTGAAAGGCTGCACTTATCCTTATCTAGAATTGGCTTCTATTATGCAAAAATGGACTCTTCTCTCTTTATCAGATTTCACAAGGATCATATCACCTTTATTCTTGTATATGTGGATGATATAATCATATGTGGGTCCTCTACATCTGCTATCTCCTCTGTAGTTGAACAATTGCAAAGTGAATTTCCTGTTAGAGACCTTGGTTTTCCAAATTACTTCCTTGGCATTCAAGTGGATCAACTTCCTAATAGAACTCTAATGCTGACTCAAACAAAGTATATCAATGATCTCTTAAACAGGACCAATATGCACATGGCTAAACCTATCAAAACACCAATGGTTGCTGGTTTGAAACTCCAACCTTTGGAAGGAACAGCTCATTATGAAATAACTCAATACAGATCCATTGTGGGTAGTTTACAATACATCACAATTACAAGACCAGAAATTGCTTTCTCAGTTAACAAAGTCTGTCAATACATGCAAGCTCCTAGGAATCCTCACTGGATGGCTGTCAAAAGAATCCTAAGGTA